AGAGACTGGAATTCATCAACAACCACATTTTTGTTAATTTGTAAAATATACATAATGATATGTAAGTGAACGAAAACAATTTAACCCAGAGTTATTTTAAATGGTATTTTAGTTTATTTTCTAGTTGCATCGTATTATAAATATTCGAAAAAAATAATGCTACAAGAATCATTTTAAACAATATAATTACTAAAACAACTACGCACACTTTATTTTTTAATTTTAATTTTGGTAAAGTACCTATCTCATATTCCCATCTATGTTTGATTGAAAAATAACTGTTTTTAAATCACATATTTTGAGATATGTTCATTACAGGCACTATAGTTATTACACATTATGTCTGTGTTATGAATTTAGAAAAAACTTATTATCATCATAATCATAATAGAATAATTATAAAATGTTGTAGAACATACAAATATGTTTATTTAAAATTAGGTACTCAAGAGTGGCTCAATAATTAATTCATTCATTCGTACCTACATGATTTCCCGGATTTCCAGATATATAAACATAATAATATGCTATACATATATATATATCATATAATAATAAATAATCAGAATACTTCTTAACCAAGTTGAATTTATTAGATGACGAACAAACACCAAAAGTGTCTATACCAACAAAAATATGACCATATCAACAGTATAAACAGATAGCTAATTTTAATTTTTACGAAATAATATCCACATTATAAGAGCAATTTGTTGCCTCCGTTATGCAATATTTACATTCAACGGATCGTGTTAAGGTTTTCTTGCGATAGTTCAACTTTTTAGCAAGTTTTGGGTGTATAATATAGCATAAATTAAAAATGCTCATAACTAGTTTAAAAACTGAATTATCAAACGTATGTATGGCGTCTTCTAAAGTATACTTTATCAAAATTCAAAGAAATGACATTTGACAATATAATATAGTTTCTTCAGTGGCATTTATTTATAGGTAATAATAGTACCTATGTACCTAATATTTAATTTTAAATGTATATTATAGCTATTAAACATAAAACATAAGATTTTCAATAATAGTTAAGTAATTAACGAGAATATTTTATCAATGTTTTCGCATTAAATTGTAAAAAACGAAAAGGTACTGCGAATTAATACAATAGGTACACAAATTAAACAGTTTTAATAATGCAAATACTCGAATCCATACACACAAATAATTGTTTAACAGATACAAATTTCAAATAATTTATAATTAAATGGATTTTCTTTAATCGTACTGTGTACTGTGCACTGTGTATTTGAAGACTAACATTTTTATTTTAAATTAGAATTTTTTACATACAGGACAAATAAAGTTGAAATATATTTATAATAATGTGAAGTATACTAATGTATTAACCAAAGTAAAAAAACACGAATACACGATCGCAAATCGCAATATCATACAGCAGTGTTTTTATAAGTTCTAACAATTATAATTTCACAATAAATGCATGTAATACTATAAATATTATTGATGATTCATAAATCGTAATTAAAACGACTTGTTTATTAATTTTAATTGTTTATTTAATACTTAAAGTGTTTAATTTTATTAAGTATTTTTATTTTACTCGTTTAATATTTTGAGTCATTTATTTTATTTTTTAACATTAGATACTATTGTTATTTTTATACTGTGTGAAATACGTTTTGTAGAATTATTCGAACCAACTTTTTAAATATACGAAAATTGCCACGAACTTTAAGATTTATACATTTTTGAGTTCTTTGAAGTGTACCAACAAACGTTGCCCTGCATGTGGTACTATTTTTATCTAAAGTCCTAGTGGCGAAAACATGTTATAACAAAACAATTTAGTCGTAAACAACTCTGATCATCAATGCATACAGAAACATCTAGTGAAGCTCAGCGAATGAGATTAGAATTCCGTTGATTTAAAATTGTTTTATTTAAAAAGCAAACTTACATATATATTATAATATTATGTTTTACAGTCATTAATAATATCAAAGTATTAATTTCGAGTTGGTTCGGTACACACATAAACGTTTTCCAGATGGGAAAAAAATATTAAGTACATACTCATTCCGTTACAGTCTAGAAATAAATGTTGATGGTTTGACTTTACACAAAGTGTATTTATATATGAAATACATGTTCATACATATTTTTGAAATATGTATAAAGAAAACGAAAAAAAAATGAACAATCTAAACTCTAAATTATCAATAAACCAAATGATTGTTATCTGATTATTCAATCTTACATAAATAGAATACAAATAAAATATATCACTGAGCATTTTAATTTCATGATCTTTATTTTTAATTAATTGTAAAATATGTAGGCAGGTACCTAATCAGAAACTATAGATTTAAAATCAATTTATCAGAAGTTAGTTGCTGGCCAATTCGGCTTAACATATAGGTAGATAACCTGATGTTGATGTAGAATGAATTACTATATTTTATCTATTTAAAGAATATATTAAAATATTAAATCAATAGGGCATGAACCAATTTCGGACCAAAGTTATAACTTTCCTATTAACCGATATTTAAGAGAAAAAAATTTATCAGAAAAAATTGTTTAATTATATCAAACACTATCTAAAACATTTCTACGATGCACAATTTAAAATTTTTAATGAATATTTTCAACATTAATTACATACATTACAATGTACAACTGATATTAATAGGTAATAGGTATAGTTAAAATTAAAAAACAAAAACATAAAATATTTGGCTTAACAAGTCTTATAAAAAAAATTATCATCCTGAGAAGCCAATATATTTTAACAAATTAAAAATAATGAGCCAATTCGCTTTATGTATTTATACTTTATATTTCTTTTAATATTGTAAATTTACTCATAATTCATCAGTGCATAGTAGAGCTATTATTAAACGTTGTTTTATTCTTTATCATTAGCCAACTTAATGTTTTTTTTTTTTACTTTTATTATTATGTCCTATTTTAAACTATTCTTAAACCTCTAAGATTTATAAGTTAATTTTATCTTTTTAAATAAATGTAATTCTTCAAAGAGGGATTTTAATTTTTCTCAAATAGCTTATTAGTGGTAGACACATAATACCAGAATCAACTTATATTAAATTGTGAACACAAGTTGGTTATTAACTTGATTATAAGTAGGTTCCTCAAAATTATCATTATTAATACAGTGAAACCTCAGTAATAAGGGAAAATAAGAAGAATTAAAAATGTGTTCACTTTGGGGAATGTATAAAGTAAAATCTACAAGTATTTTTTTGATGAAATATTTAAAAAATATATATAAATAGTTTATTGTAACATCCATTTCATATTGGAAAGTGTGTATATATTTATACATAGAACTATAAAAAGAGTATTCAAACAAATACATACATATTAAGCATATAATTTTAAAAATGAAACTAATTTGTTTGTTGGAATTTTCATTGGAAAATAAAAATAAATAATAATAATAATAAAAATAAGCCTTTTAAATTAGGTCAATGATGTTGTCTACACTCTACATAAATTTATAAAAACAAGATAATATCATAAAAATTCAAAAATTTGAATAGATTAATTTAATATCTAACGAAGATTTACTTTTTCACCTACCATCTTGATTTAATAATTAATTTTTGTTTTCATACAAACATATACACATGATAATTAAATATAATATACCTATATCATATTTTTAAAACAAATACAAATGATTAACTAATATTTAATCATCATTAAATTAAATTTGTAAAAGTATAAAAAAAACTTTAGATGGATAAAGATTAAAGTAAATTGTAGGCTTTGTGAGGATGTTCACATTTTGTTCAACATTTTAATGCGATTGTTCAGAATAATATTAAAATAAAACACTCAACAATACAAACTATAAACTTATGAGTCATAGAAGTCGGTATAAAACAATATTATATGAATCACAGATTCTCTGATTTCTTTGTATCTAAATCTATATTGTTTTTAAAATAACTATACTCTTATTTTTTCTTTGAATAAAATCCATACTTATTCAATGAGAGAAAGCATAGATTCTATGCAACCCACCCGACACCACGGTGTTGAGCGGGATGTGGTGAAGAACCGATCTTAGTCAGGCCCGCGACACTTACTCTAGTTGGATGGAGTTTATACAGTCTACTCGTACTTCCCAAGTACATTACAAGTATCCAATACTCCTACTAAATTAGTAATCAGACTCAAACACCTCATTGCTAAAGAAATATCAACCAATATTTAACCAAACTAATAAAAATTGAACTAGCAGTTAATAATTTATTATAGTTGTCATATTATGATAAAAATGAAGATCAATCAAAAAAATTCTTAGAAAGTTTCAACAAAATTAGTTCTGAATACAAATTGGATAGTTTCTATTTAAAATTTAAAATTTACCATAAGTATAAAATTAGCATATTTGTTATTTGTTACTATTTCTGTAACATGGTAACTAAAATCTAATTAATCAAATTTCTAGTAGGCAGATAATTCTTCTTTCTTATTCATATATAATTCAATAATATTACAGTCAATATACCAATAAGCTAGTTCTCTAGTAACACATAGAATACAATTTAAATTTAGATTCAGTAAAGAAATATATATCAGTAACCAGAAATTGTTGATATTATATCTATATGACCTATATTATAATAATAATATATAATATAATATTTATGATCCTTTGAAATGTGTATTTATTAAAAAACTAAACTGTTATAAAATGTACCTATATCATTCAACAATTTAAGTTGTTAAGTATTGAAGATCATACAATGCGTAACATGAATGTCAAGCAGTAAATGCATATATTTTTTCCATGACATACACAAAAATGTAATTTTGTTTTTATAACTCTTAAGTTTAAGATTTTAGTTGAAATTTTTTTGTGAAGTAGTAGATAGGTATATTATAATATTATTTTTAGTTTTTAGGAATAACTAATATTAGGTATATCTAACTGACAATTTTAAAGCATACTGCAATTTTTGTTAGTAAGCATAAAATAAATATTCACTCACCATAGCTGTTTTCTTGGCTATTGTTGTGTATGCCTGATGGACCTGGTAATAGACCCGGCAATCCTAAAATAATTAATACATTTATTATTTATTTAATACTTAACAAATTAAAAGGTTTCACATAGAGTAAACAAACCTTGTAAGCTACTTATAATTGAAACTCCAGATGAAATTGATGTAGGAAAAGAATGCCTGGACTGTTGTTCAATCGAGATTGACGTATTGTGTAGGTCATGATTATTACCACTACTTGATAAAAAATCTACCGGTTCTAGTTTTGAATGTTGGGCCTGAGATATTTGAGGTTGAATAACAATGTCATTGTTTTGTTGATTTCCATCTGAACGGGTATTATCATTAACTGTATGACTGCCATCTGAATCTCCAGAATTGCTATCTTCTTCATCAGACGAATGCCCAGTGACTGACGAGTCAACTGCATTTTTATTCTTTAAATTCAAACACAAGCAAGAATTAGTAAGTATACTAATTTCAAACACATCACACATGATTCAGTATGTATTATTTATTACCTGACTTGACTGTGATTGATTCAATTCCAATGCTTGAACAAGCAATGATGGTGTATCTTTATCTCTCTCAGCATTATAACTACTACTAGGAGTCAGTGGTTGAGTAGTCAACTGTTCAGAGTTATTGCGTTGTCTTTTATATGGTGGGCTAGGTAAATTATCACTGGCTTTATTTTTTCCAACAACATCAACTGGAACTACGCTTGAACTTCCCCACGAGGACTATTAATTTAAATAAAACTATATAAATCAACAATTTTCAACAAACAAAATCATCTATGGCTAGTTTAATACTTACCGGTTGGTTTTCTTTAGTAAAATCAACGAGACCTCGTACTTGCAAGCTACGAGCAGTCTTTAAAAATTCTGGTAAATGTTCTTGATTAATCCGAACTTCTCCATTGTACATGAAACTTAATAATGCTTCCATTTCTTGTTTCTTAACATCGCGAAGGATTACAATGGGATGTTGGCATGGATTTGCCTAAAAATCATAAGGATTCTATTATGTTAAATTGCTTTAAATATTAATATATATATATAATTTTAAAGTCATACCTTGAGCAGAGATCTGAAGTAAGGACTACATGCAGAGAGCACAACTTTATGTGCAGTAAATGAATGACCGTCACAAGCTATAGTAACATCTATAAAATCTTCTTGATCGAGTAAATGTCTGAATGATGTTATAATACTTGTGTGGAATTCATTCCAGCGCACGGAATATAATTGGTCTGTATCCATTCCGCCCATTATTGACTTATTTTCATCTAAAAATAAATAGTCATTTTATAAAATAAAATACATTTTTGATTAGTGATTAATTAAATTAATTTATTGGTATCTAATATCTAAATTGCTTAAGTACCTACCTAATTTGAAATTCAAAATCATTGAAAGTTAAACATTTATCTAAGGACTGAAAGGACTTCAATTTTACTTGTATTTCTTAAAGTTTAAACTGTTTACTTAAGTACTGAAAATCACATTAAACTATCCATAAAAACTAAAAATGTTAAGATAGTAAATTGTGCTAAATGTAATTAAAATACAATTTCTAAATTATTTAAAGCATAATGTGAAATTAAAAGGCTTATAAAATATTTTAGTAGTAATCCTAATTATAGGTGGATAAAAAAAATCCCTCAAAGAATGTACCTACCTAAATCATCATCTAACGATTTTTAAATTACCTATACACTCAAAAAACGTATGTTTAATTGTAACATTCCGGGTAACATTCCTACACAAATTGAAATTTAAAATGTGTTTTTTAAAGACGGTCACGTTTTCACAAATCGCAAAATAAAAAACATATCTGCAGGTAAGTACCTACTTAATATTATCAATTTTATTTAAACTATTTTCCAAAGGAGTATTTTTTCTACAAAAACATGTTGAACGGCAAAACTCAATGAGTGGGGAAACATAGGTAAGTACTAGGTAGGTACTTCCCGTGTAGTATCTCCTGCAACGTTTTACGTAAATATCAAATTTAATATTTTTTGGGACAATTAAAAACGCGAAGAACGAGAGAGCTAATATTGCGGTGAACAGCGCTGAAAACGAAAAATTCCAGGGACAATTCGAAGCATCGCTAGAATACGTTTGGGCACTTTAATGCGATAAATATTAATAATATTGTAAATAATAATAATTGTTATAAAAACCATCGTTTGTCGGCCTGTCACCCTCGTGGTGTTTAATAATAGGTATAATATTAATATTAGGGTATTTACGATAGTAAATCCGCGACAAGCGATCGTTGGTTAGAAAAAATACCTCTATCGTAAATATCAAATTTAATATTTTTTCGGACGATTAAAAACGCGACGCGCGGGTGCTATACTATTGCGGAGAATAGAGCTGAAACAAAAAATTCCAGAGAAAACGTGTGGGCATTTCATTCCGATAAATATTAACGAAATAGTTAATAACAATAATTATAATATTTATTATATGTTATAAAAATCATCGATCGTCGGCCTGAATTGGTGTATTACAAATGATAGGTAAATGTTAATATTAAGGTATTTTAGCTTTTCCGCCAACGATAGGAAATCCTCGAAAAGCGAACTTTGATAAGAAAAACGACCTTCATCGGGCGGGGATGAAAGAACGTGTATATATATTATTATTGTTGTTGCACCCAAAGTGTGTAGCTACTGTAATACGCCGCCCCCACCCGATGGGAAAAAAAGTGAAAACGACAACAACAATAATAATAATAATATTGTTGTAAACAAACAGACCGTCGTCAGTTCGTTGACAACCCTTCGACGACGAAGACGATGACGACGAAATAGAAGAGTAAAATATTATTTAAGACATCGAAATTATCATATATGATAATAGCTGGCTGTCGTGCTAGGGGTGAAAACGAAACGAGGCTGGCCGATTGGCGTTTTGGTTTCCATCGTAGTTTGGCGGGACCCGACGGAACCGCGCGGTCGATACCTACGCGTTGCGAATGGTCAGCATAAATATAAGTTGACGCGATATTTTAAATTACGCGATAATATAATGACAACGATAATCGCGGTGGCTGATGACAATAATAACGATAATAATTACAAATCATTGTTATTGTTATTATTGCATTCGGTGCACTTCAACATACTGGATGCGCACGGTACGGCGGCGCCCCGTACAGGCGTGAAAACGAGCGCACTCGACGACAAAAATAAATTAATTCAGACCGCGAAAAAAAAAAAATTGTAAAACGTTTGGGCGGACAAAAAAAAATTGAAAATCAGATTTGATCAAAAAAAAAAAAAAAAACAGGTGTATATAATAAAAATATTAAAAATATAATAAAAAAAAAGTTTAAATTAATTAATTTACCTACTATTTTTAAGATATTAATTACTATGAAAAAAAAAAATGTGATAATACAAATTTAAAAAAATATAAGTAATAATATCGAGTGCACAATCAAAATAAATAACAAAAATAATTAATAATAATAATAACAACAACCTACCTCGGTCTACAACGGCCCCGTCGACAGCGAACGGCGAACGACGAACGACGATATCGGCGGCGCGGCGGTGGTCGTGTGCACCGGCGATACGAAATGCGACGACCGAAAAACGACGACGGCGACGACGACGACGACGGTGCGGCGGCGGCGGCGGCGGCGACAACAATGTGTGCGTGTGTGTGTGTGTGTGCGTGTGCGTGTGCGTGCGTGGAGGAAAATATTTCGCTCACATGGCGGCCGCGGGCCGACGTAAAAACTGCGCGCGAACCCTCACGGCAGACGGGCGCCGTTGCGGCCTGGACATGACGTACCGCCGCCGCGTCGTCGTCGTTGTTGTTGTTGTCGGTACGATGGGCTCTGGTGGGGGGTGGAGGGGATATCGGTAGTGCCGTATCTGGTGGTGGTGGCGGCGGCGGCGGTGGAGGTGTCTGCGGCAGGCGGCGGTCATCGAGTGGGTCGAGTGCGTGTGCGTGTGCGTGTACTGCGGTACTGATGCGAACGACGGCCGACTACGCACATACGCCGCGCGACGGTATGCGGCGGCGGCGGTGCGGTGGTGCTGGTGCGGCGCGGCGGCCACCGATCGGGAAAAAAATGCTGGGGCGGGGAGGGTGCCCGAATTTTTTCCCACGCGTATTTACCTACGACGCACACGCGGCGCGAGGGGGGCGCCCGCGCACGCACACGCACTGCCCGTCCGGGAATCGCGTAAAAATTCGGAACGTCCGTCGGCGGGGGAAATGATAATTATTGGGAGAGACAAAAAATGTAAATAAATAGACGAAAGAGCAAAACGGTAATAACCGCCGAAAAGAGGCGCGCGCGATTCAAACACGGTCGCGGTTTGAGGAACACCGCGAGGCAGTGTCTCCTCCCGTTCACTCTCTCTCTCGTTCGCCACTCACCTCACTCCGCCGCCCGACCGTTTCTCGCTCGCACGCGTCGCGACCGCGCACGGCGTGCGGAAATTTGCTCACGCGCGCCTGCACGCACAGCGGCGCTCGACTTGTGCGCCTCCCCTCCAAAGCGGCGGCGGCGGCGGCGTGAATGGTCGCGATCGGCGTCCGCCGTTTTCTCGCTTGATTATTTTATTTATTTTCGCCACTCCTTTCACTATCCTTCCGTTGCATGCCGTGCGCGACTGTAAAATAATATATTGTTATCATTCAATTTATCGTCCCTGTTTTATGCAATTTACAGGCGGATTTCTGGCCGGTTCCGAAAAAGACTTCAACATAGAGCGGTGGGAAGGGTTCGAATTTAGGGTGGCACGTAAATTCTACTGGTTAAAATTAACGAATGCTCAACCGAAAATATTTTCAAAAAAAAAACCAACACTTCAAACTAAAATAGGTATGGCATAATGGGTATGGTTGGTAAAATGTAGTAAAATAGGTATTTCCGCTTTTATCAGAATTAAACATCGCAACAATAGAATATTAATAATATTATGATACGAAAGTGTCTACACGATAATAAATAAAATAAAAATAAACATTTTTTTATAACTCAATCGTTGTACGAGACGTGTTTTGAAAGAAAATTGTAAATACAAATTATTGTATAGTACTATGTACTATCGAATTTAGTTTTAACTGAAAGTTTAAAAATAAAGACGATACTGATTGAATTGGTAAAAAAATAGTCTGCTTAGTATACATGGGTATCTTCCATATTTTTTCAAATAAAAAAATCGAAGTGTCCGTTGGAATTTAGGTACAAAAAAAATAATATAATCAGTGGAATTTTCAATCTTACAATCGCTCGAATTTGTTCCATGGCAAAAACAAATTGATTTCATCTTCTTGCAGATGACTGCCAGAGCTTTTATTTTTTACTTTTGTTATACATTTTAATACTCCCCATCGCCTCCCTTCAAAACCACTTCTGTTTGGGGGCTTAGTACTCCCAATTTTGGAAACAGTAACCTATATAACATATAAATAACATAAATAAGTAGTACATAATATACAAATATATTAACTTCAGTACTCCCAGTTTAAAACTAAATTTAGTTATTGAAATTGAGATCCCTCAGTTTAGATAATTTATTATAACAAGGGTCCGAATTAATCGAATTTTTTTCTTTTATTATTGTTTTAAAAGTAGCTAGAGATACTTTTAAATCTTAGCCTAATGAGTTGGTGAGCAGAATTTGATTTCGCATAATTGGATCATTTTTAATTATTGGATATTTTAACATTTTTCAAAAATATAATATTATAATGCATACCTAATGTATATATTGAAGAATAAAAATAGTAATACTATTTTACAGAACTTGAGTTATACTTACATTTCGATTATTTTTTAATTTATTCTTACTCATAGGTTTAATGAGTCGTTGACCTTTCGTCTAATTATTATCAATACTTGATGGTCAATTGATAATTTTTTATTGTTCATCGATTGAGCTCGCTATAACAAGATTAAGTTCTCTGTGTATTATATACCACAATGCTAACGTCTATGACCGAAAACCTATGTATAGTGGATTAGTATAGATCTTATACTCTTCGAATATAGAACGAATAGTTTTTCTCAATTCAAGAACATATTTTCTGAAAACTAGGAGTGCATTTTTATTTGAAAATGTACCATTCGAGTTTTTAATGGTCAAATGTAACTGTCCGAACAATACATAAAAAAGTACTCATTTTTTTTTTAAATCGGTTCTAACGTTCATGAATTATTGTTTTTATTTAAAATGCAATGTGCCATTGTACAATGAACCAATGAGTTCAATTATTTCAATTATTCAATAAGCGTTAAACATTTTTAAGCTTGTTTCAATTTAATAAACAAGAATATTATATTTTTTTCGTATCTGCATGTCTTATGACGACAATAAGTGCATAGATGTATGTTTACCTATATATATGATGTTTCGTACATTTCTGGTGCATAATATCATAAGTCCCAGCCCTATTTATATAATAATGTGTTACACTGTTACGTTTTACCGACGGCCGCACACACGCACACCACACTCGGTCTCGGTGTAAATATAATATACGTCGGCCCATATTATTATTATTACATATTATTATTATTATATTATGTGTGTCGTGCGTGTGTGAACGCACTCATTTGAGTACACTCGCGCACGCGCACACCGATGCGATCGTGCAATGTGTGCAATGTGCATAATAGTAAGTAGTAAGTAGGTAGTAAGTTTAGTTACACCGCCGAGAAGTATCTCAATTCTCCATGCAGTGGCACGCATGTGCATCTAAATACAATAACCAGAAAATAATGTTATGTAAATTCTGATGATACCTACCTACCTATTATGTCCCTCGGCTCTCTCACCTATATACTTAGACAGTATACGTAGGTCATATAGGCGAGAGTGTATGTGTGTGTAGGTCAGAGGTGTGTGCAGTGTGTAGGGCCCCCGTACTGAAAATTCAACGTTCAAAAATATTTTCACAGCATCAATACATATTCTAGAATCAAAGTCCATAGGTTCCCAACCTATGGTCCGCGGACCACTAGTGGTCCGCGAGACATTGTCATGTGGTCCGCGAGCCATACTTACAAAATGTAAAAATATTTTAATAATTTCATTTTCCTTTGAGGCATAACACTAACTATTGACAATCGTGTATAGTAGGTCGTTTCTTTATAAATGTATATTACATAGTGAAACCCATGTTATTAAAAGCCTTTATTGATGTAATAATAATCAAAATTCTAAAATATGTGAAAAAAAATTGATTCTTATTTATAAGAAAAATAAGGTATACAATTGAGGTGGTCCGTGACGTATCGAAAGTTCTCATAGTGGTCCGTAGTACCAAAAAGGTTGGGAACCACTTTTCTATTAAGTAGACTCTACTTAATAGAAAAAAACTATAATGTATAATGTGATTTTATTGAAATAATTGTAATACTATTATTTTACTAAAATGTAGTCTCTCACACCTATATTTACTTGGATGGTCGGACGACGAAGGTTACAGGCATGTGTGTGTGTGTCGTGTGTGTGTGTATGAAGCCCCCCGCATTGAAATTTCAACGTTAAAAAATGTTTTCATAAACCATCAACATATTCTGGTCTAATAGAAAAAATACAGTGACGCATAATATATAATGATTTTATTTACGATTTACAATTTTAAAATACTCATTAATTTGCGTCAAAATTAAAATATAAGAAAACCGATGTCCCTAGATACTATTCATACTTTTAAATTTAAGTAATAAAAAATGATTCACTCTTATTTTAAAAATAACCGAGTAAAATGGATTATCGTGAACGTACAATAAATTAGCTATGTTATGGGTCGTTAGTAAGACGGAGACATCACGCGCGGTTATAACGTCCTAATTAATATAATTACAATTTCAGTAATACCTATCTTGGTCCTAACCATATATTTTCATTTATCAGACATCGGTGTTGTAATGGATACTTTAACAATTGTATACTTAACTACTGCGGAGCCTGCAGGATGAACTAAGGAATTTTTAGAACTGCACATCCTGATTATTTTGTGCTAGTGAAAAAAATTGCCGGTCGCTATTCGTTTATGTGTTCGCATATTATATACGTAATACGTTGCCACTATGAATATTCAATAAATGCAAAAATTAATTATAATACGTGGGTATTGAATTTTTCCAGTTTTTACCGGATTAGTCGTTCAAATATAAAGTTTAAAATAGTTTTGTAATATAAAAATAAAAACAATTTACAAAGAATATTTTTTTTAAATTTTAATCGTTTTTATCGTTTCGTCGTTTCTATAATTAAAATATTCGGCTATTGATTTTTCAAACGCAAGTCCCAATGAGGTAATAAAAATAAAAATACTGTAAAAACTAAAAAGTGATGAGAATTTTGGATACTGCGTGTATACACAGCCACGTTCACGCCTATCGTAAAACAACACTACCTATGTATTATCACCATTCACAACCATACCTGCAACCCTCAGGCCATAAGTTGTACACACTATTTTAAATAATACATCAAACCATTTTTGTAACCACAGTCCGTGCATTAAAATACTAAATAATTACAATTTATAATGATATTACCTATGAACATGGTATAGTATAACAAAATATGTCAATCACTTAACTTAACTGTTGTAATCACAATACATTTTTTAAAAGTGAAGATATATTAAATATATTCGCTCTATACCTAACCTAACGACGGACCATAAACGTGTAGGTAATATATTTTATATTTGAACATTGTGCATTTAAATTTACAACTGCATGTTATTTTTATTTTTATTTTTTTAATAAGAAAAAAGCCTCGATAGCGTGATCATTAGTTTGGACTGCAAGTTAGTGCAAGTCCTGCAGTTAATTATTTAAAAAAACATTATTTTAATCCTTCTCAAATATAACCTAGGTGGGCAAGGACACATAAAGTGGCATTTATTACGAACATATTTTAATGTATTTATCTCTTAAAAGTTCAACATACATAGGATTTGGTACCGGAAATAGAGTAAG